AGTGACAACTTCAGTGACACTGTGACAACTTCAGTGAACACTAGTGACAACTTCAGTGACACTAGTGACAACTTCAGTGACACTAGTGACAACTTCAGTGACACTAGTGACAACTTCAGTGACACTAGTGACAACTTCAGTGACACTAGTGACAACTTCAGTGACACTAGTGACAACTTCAGTGACACTAGTGACAACTTCAGTGACACTAGTGACAACTTCAGTGACACTGGTGACACCTTCAGTGGCACTAGTGACAACTTCAGTGACACTAGTGACAACTTCAGTGACACTAGTGACAACTTCAGTGACACTAGTGACAACTTCAGTGACACTAGTGACAACTTCAGTGACACTAGTGACAACTTCAGTGACACTAGTGACAACTTCAGTGACAACTTCAGTGACACTAGTGACAACTTCAGTGACACTAGTGACAACTTCAGTGACACTAGTGACAACTTCAGTGCACTGTGACAACTTCAGTGACACATGACTTCAGTGACACTAGTGACAACTCAGTGCACTAGTGACAACTTCAGTGACACTGGTGACTTAGTGACAGTACTTCACTGTGACAACTCAGTGACACATGACAACTTCAGTGACACTAGTGACAACTTCAGTGAAAACTGGTGACACTTCAGTGACACTAGTGACAACTTCAGTGACACTAGTGACAACTTCAGTGGCACTAGTGACAACTTCAGTGACACTAGTGACAACTTCAGTGACACTAGTGACAACTTCAGTGACACTAGTGACAACTTCAGTGGCACTAGTGACAACTTCAGTGGCACTAGTGACAACTTCAGTGACACTAGTGACAACTTCAGTGGCACTAGTGACAACTTCAGTGGACACTAGTGACAACTTCAGTGACACTAGTGACAACTTCAGTGACACTAGTGACAACTTCAGTGGACACTGGTGACAACTTCAGTGGACACTAGTGACAACTTCAGTGACACTAGTGACAACTTCAGTGACACTAGTGACAACTTCAGTGACACTAGTGACAACTTAGTGCCAGTGACAACTAGTGACAACTTCAGTGACACTAGTGACAACTTCAGTGCACTAGTGACAACTTCAGTGACACTAGTGACAACTTCAGTGACACTAGTGACAACTTCAGTGACACTAGTGACAACTTCAGTGACACTAGTGACAACTTCAGTGACACTAGTGACAACTTCAGTGACACTAGTGACAACTTCAGTGACACTAGTGACAACTTCAGTGACACTAGTGACAACTTCAGTGACACTAGTGACAACTTCAGTGGACACTAGTGACAACTTCAGTGACAACTCAGTGACACAGTGACATTCAGTGGCACTAGTAGTGACAGACCTTCAGTGACACTAGTGACAACTTCAGTGCACTAGTGACAACTTCAGTGACACTAGTGACAACTTCTCAGTGACAACTTCAGTGACACTAGTGACAACTCATGACACTAGTGACAACTTCAGTGCACTAGTGACAAACTTCAGTGACAAGGAATCTCAGTGCACTAGTGACAACTTCAATGGCACCATACGTGACACTTCGTGCACTAGTGACAACTTCATCGTGCACTATGACAACTTCAGTGCATAGTGACAACTTCAGTAACAGGCACACTTCATGACACTGGACCAATCCTTCGCACATGACCATTCGTCACTTGCACCTTCACTCTAACACTTCATCCTTCACTCACACTCACTATCTGCACTCTACACATTCATCCTTGACACTACACTCACTACTTGCACTCTGTACCTGCACTCAGTTCACTCTACACTCACTCACCTGTCACTCTACACTCACTCATCCTTCACTCTACACTCACTATCCTTCACTGACACTCACTCATCCTTCACTTCACTCGCTCATCTGCAACTCTTACACTCACTCACCTTGCACTCTACACTCACTCATCCTTCACTCTACACTCACTCATCCTTTACTCTACACTCATCACTTCACTCTACACTCACTCATCCTCACTCTACACTATCAATCCTTCACTTACACTCATCACTCATTCTGCACTATACACTCACTCATGCCTTCACTTCTACTCACTCATCCTCACTCTACATCACTCAGTCCTCACTTTACATCTCAGGCTATGACAACTCATAATGCAACAGTTGGCACTAACTCATATTTCAACGTTTCGCCTACTCAGCCTAGGCTTCTTCTAGTCGAGTACAACTTAAATTGATCAGAGCAGACATACTTGAGACATGTAATCAGTCCTCACCTTTAATGTTTCGTGACCGTGGCATGTTCCTCTCATCATGAGAAAGACATATGTCCATATTACAGACACTTCACTCTACACTCAGCTCATCCTAGCACCTCTACACTCACTGTCATCCTGCACTCTAACACTTACATCATCCTTCACTGTACACTCACTCATCCTACTATACACTCATCCTGCACTCTACACTCACTCATCCTTCACTCTCATCACTCACTCATCCTGCACTCTACACTCACTCATCCTTCACTCTACACTCACTCATCCTGCACTCTACACTCACTCATCCTTCACTCTACACTCACTCATCCTTCACTCTACACTCACTCATCCTGCACTCTACACTCACTCATCCTGCACTCTACACTCACTCATCCTTCACTCTACACTCACTTCATCCTGCACTCTACACTCACTCATCCTTCATCTCTACACTCACTCATCCTTCACTCTACACTCACTCATCCTCACTCTAACTCACTCATCCTCACTCTACACTCACTCGTCCTTCTCTCTACACTCACTCATCCTGCACTCTACACTTCACTCATCCTGCACTCTACACTCACTCATTTCCTGCACTCTACACTCACTCGTCTTCTCATCTACACTCACTCATCCTGCACTCTACACTCACTCATCCTGCACTCTACACTCACTCATCCTGCACTCTACACTCACTCGTCCTTCTCTCTACACTCACTCATCCTGCACTCTACATTCACTCATCCTGCACTCTACACTCACTCATCCTTCTCTACACTCACTCATCCTGCACTCTACTCACTCATCCTTCTCTCTACACTCACTCATCCTGCCTCTACACTCACTCATCCTACACTAGTCACTCTTACACTCACTCATCCTTCTCTCTACACTCACTCATCCTGCACTCTACACTCACTCATCCTTCTCTCTACACTCACTCATCCTGCACTCTTCATTCACTCATTCTGCACTCTACACTCACTCATCCTTCTCTACACTCACTCATCCTGCACTCTACACTCAACTCATCTTCCTCTACACTCACTCATCCTGCACTCTACACTCACTCATCCTGCACTCTACACTCACTCATCCTTCTCTCTACACTCACTCATCCTGCACTCTACACTCACTCATCCTGCACTCTACACTCACTCATCCTCTCTCTAACACTCACTCATCCTGCACTCTAACTCACTCATCCTTCTCTCTACACTCACTCATCCTGCACTCTACACTCATCTGCACTCTACACTCACTCATCCTTCTCTCTACACTCACTATCATCACTGCACCTCATCTACACTCCTTCATCCTTCTCTCTACACTCACTCATCATGCACTCTAACTCATCATCTGCACTCTACACTCACTCATCCTTCTCTCTACACTCACTCATCCTGCACTCTACACTCACTCATCCTTCTCTCTACACTCACTCATCCTGCACTCTACACTCACTCATCCTCTTCACTCACTCATCTGCACTCTACACTCACTCATCCTTCTCTCTACACTCACTCATCCTGCACTCTACACTCACTCATCCTTCTCTCTACATCACTCATCTCACCTACTCACTATCTTACTTCAACACTCACTCATCCTTCTCTCTACACTCACTCATCCTGCTACTCCTACCCACTCACTCATCCTGCACTCTACACTCACTCATCCTTCTCTCTACACTCACTCATCCTGCACTCTACACTCACTCATCCTGCACTCTACATCCACTCATCCTGCACTCTACACTCACTCATCCTGCACTCTACACTCACTCATCCTTCTCTCTACACTCACTCATCCTGCACTCTACACTCACTCATCCTTCTCTCTACACTCACTCATCCTGCACTCTACACTCACTCATCCTGCACTCTACACTCACTCATCCTGCACTCTACACTCACTCATCCTGCACTCTACACTCACTCATCCTTCTCTCTACAGTCACTCATCCTGCACTCTACCCTCACTCATCCTTCTCTCTACACTCACTCATCCTTCCTCTCACCTCACTCATCCTGTCTACTCTACACTCACTCACTCATCCTGCACTCTACACTCACTCATCCTGCACTCTACACTCACTCATCCTGCACTCTACACTCACTCATCCTTTTGCACTCTCACACTCACTCATCCTTCTCTCTACACTCACTCATCCTTCTCTCTACACTCACTCATCCTTCTCTCTACACTCACTCATCCTCATCCTCTTAACTCACTCATCCTTCTCTCACTCACTCACTCATCCTGCACTCTAACTCACTCATCCTTCTCTTAACTCATCATCCTCACTATACATCACTCATCCTGCACTCTACTCATCATCCTTCTCTCTACACTATTATATAATATAACATAATTTCATCTAATATAATATATATATATATATATATATATATATATATATATATATATATATATATTATATATATATATATATATATATATATATATATATAATATATATACCATTATTTTTGACGTGTTTCACACTAGTTTCAGACACGCCATGTGACTTACATCATGATGTTAAAGTTGCAAGCTTTATTCTAGACTTTACGTCACACAACAAAACTTAATCTACACATTACCTCATACGTCTAGACTTAGACTATAATTCAAGTGCTTCTGGAAGATTTATCTCACATCTAAAGTCTTACCACTGAGTCTTACAGTAAGTCTTAACTGTCACATGCTTTAAGACTTATCTAGAGAACACAAACCGCGGCCATATATGCACCTTTACCTTTGATGGAGTTAGACTTCTTTTCGGTTGAGGGTGGGCGGTTTGTGGGCGTGGGTGTGGAGGAGGACGGGGTGGTCGTGTCTACAGCATCCCCTGCCACCTCTCTCTCCCATCCTGGCCCAAACAACTCGCTTAAAATATCCATCTTCGCTACACTCTCCTCCGGATTCTTCAGCAGGGTACCGAAATCCCACTGGTGTTTGTTCAGGGGATCCAGCGTAATTGTTTATGTGGTGTCTTGTGGAAGGGAATATCACTGCCACGCCAGAGTACACTAGTGCAAAGTTCATTCACACACACGTGAACATTTACAATATAAAGTCACAGAATTTACTCCAACACAGAGGACTATAAGAATACAATCAGGTCACAGATGATCTGTTTCCAATCATTTCTGTTTTAGTAATTTTTACAAGTAAACAAAACACACACACAGACACTAAAGTGCTCGAGG